GCGGCGCCGCTGAGGTGAAGGTGCGACGCTGTGATGAACCTGAGCTCTGCGACGCTCACAGCAAAGTGCTGGGGATGCCTGGAGGGATGCTGCCGCCTCCGATCTGCCTCCCAGGAGCAGGCAGAGCGCCGGGCAGGGCAGGAAGGGGACGCATGTTCGTAGCTGTAGCTCACTGTGCTCCGGTCAGCAGTGTCCTGGCTCACTGCAGCCCAGCACACGAGCTCCCGAGGCTGGGACAGACCATATGGGCATGACTGGGGACGACCAAAGCTGGCTAACATCAGGCATGCAGCTCTGGGTGGCACGAAGAGACAGCAGAGACACAAATCCTGGAAATAATGTACTGAAGCACCTTTCCTTATGTCACAGGCAAGGGGCCACATCTCCATGAGACCCCCCAGAGCGGGTCCCCCGTCCCTGCCCGGAGCAGCGTGGCCGAGAGACGGGATGTGACAGGAGGTGCCGTCCTGCCTCGGGCCAGAGCTCCACAAGAGTCTGCCGAGCCTGGGCACCCATTACCATGGGGGGGGTTTGGTGTCCTGCGAGGAGCTGATGGCAGAGCATGGTACCTGCTACAGCAGCTGCTCCAAGCCTGGGTACAAAGGGCCATGACTTGGAGAAGATGAAGATGAGGGACAGAGACAAGTTAAACCACGCCAGGGCAATGGAGGGATGCTGGTGCAAGCCTGAGCCTCCTCACTGTGCTTCTCAGCACATCCTGTCCACAGGTCTGACATCCGCTCCGAGCACCATGCAGCACAGCATGGCATGCCCCGATTAGCAGCAAGACCCTTTTCCCACGAAACACCCCCCCAAAAAGCCCACAGAGCTCAGGGGCACAGTTTGCTGAAAGGCTCTGCAGATCTTGGACCTGCATCGGCCTCTGCAGAGTGACAGAGATTTGTGATTTTGCTTGATGCTTCTGAACATTGAAAGACATGAGTTGCTCTGCCCCTGAGACGACACAGCCACCGCCTGGAGAACGCAGAGCCCCCACCACGATGTCCTGCCTGCAAGGGGTGATAAATGGCCCCATCCTTCCCCAGGAATTCAGGACAGACCAGCCAAGTGTGCTAAATATTAAACGGTCTATTTTCTTCACAGGTCACAACTCATTAAGCGCTCCAGGTTTTTAATTAGGACCTGCTGTTTGACCGATGCGTGCCAGATGCACTCTGTGGTTAGAGTGTGGGGCTGTCAGAGGTTCTCAGGTTGCCCCCAGGCTCTGAAACTAAAGATTTTCAGTCCAACAAGAAAGAAACAGGACCCTGAGACACCCTCCAGCACACAGACACCCTGAAACAGGGAGGAACCGTGCCAGAGCTTGTGGGCATCACCGACATGGCTAGGAGGGAGCTTGGGTGAGGAGAGCTTCTCCTTTTCTCCCCAAGTGTTGAGATGTGACAGCAACCCTAGCCCAGGCAGGCTGCCAGGAGACACAGCAGGGTGATGGACACCTTTCTCCTCCCCTCCTTCCCCACCTCCTGCTCTGCAATGCTGGCACAGGCACCCTGTCCTCCTGCCTCCAAAAAATGGCTTGGGCTGTGCCTGCTGCTGCTTTTG